CACCATTCTGCAGTCGCATGAATGCATCAAAATTCAAGGACCATGTCGAAGCCTCGAAAAATGTGATCGGTGCCGAATTCTGAAGAGTCATATCAACTCATTTCAGGTTGTACTGCAATTGACGGCCACGGTTAGGGAATTCCTATATATACCTGAAGTCAGCTACTGAGCACATCCGAAGATCGCGTGACATCGTCATCTTGTTCTTCGCAAGGTCAATCCCGGCGTCGATTGATATCTGGACTAACCACTGAATCATAACACTGCGCGACGAGTCATGTACAGATAGCGTCGCGGGCGCCAACCATTCTGTGGGACGTTGTAGAATGTGACACTTCGCACAGCGCCATCATTCACATTCGAGGTAGCACAGAACCTGCAATCCCTGCTAACTTTCCAGATGCAACATCAACTTTCTGGGATTCAAATCCCATCTTGTCATCTACAGGGACAGGGATGACCGACAATCATCAGCCTTCCACAGAGTCAGCGTCAGAATGAACAGAAACGCATCTGCCGCCATGTTATTGAACTGTCGAGGCTAGTCTACGGATGTTGAATTTTACCCGAGACCGAGTGGTGTATTTACAATCAGTAATTTGCTCTGAAGTCTTAGGTTTGCATGATGCGATGCACATGCTGGAAGCTACCGACGATCAGTCATTGGATATGAAGTCATGGGTAACCAAAAAAGCGGACAATCAGTGACCAGAGGAGTCAGTGATGGGTCTGAATGACGTCAAGGGCGAAGTCTCTGGAGTGATGGGACATCTTTCTGCACGATGGGGCAGCACTTGCTCGCACTCGATATACTTATATACAAGACAAGTAACCTTGTAGATTGGCAATGAAGCCAGATGACGATTACAAAAAGTATATCAATTCGAGCGAGAGCTCTCAGCGCTGCGACGCAACAACCAAACAACCTACGGCAAGTGGTTAATTGATGGCTCTTGTTCCGATGGCGGTCCGGAAAGCCATCGGACTGACGTCAACTTGCCACTACACGGTGACAGATCCCCCACAATCGGCCAAGCTTGCCTTGAGTTCGAGGAGGTGGGTTAAATGAGAATGCGAATTGCGATATATAGTCGACTGGGCATCCCTTGCCTTCTTTATCCTAACTCCGATTTCCTAATTCTTCCTGGCGCTGTTCTCCATCAAAATAGATGAACTGATATGATCGATCGATCGACTAGTTGGTGTTCACGCAACAAATAGTCTAATCTGTCCTTTTCGGTTTTGAATTAATTCTTTGATCAATTTGATCTATTTCAATAACCTGAAAAGAGAAAAGGGGCCTCCTTCGAACAAAAAGGGTGAAAGGTCCAAAGCACCACGTGATCTTGTTAAAAGGGGCCAAATTCGTGAGCCACGTCATAGCAACTTGGAATAGCCTTCAAGTTTGGTTCAGTTTTCGGTTTGTACGGTACCGCGGCGGTGAAAGAAGGAAAATAATTTGATCGGAGGTGGGAAAGCGTTTGCGTTTGAGTCCAGTTGTTGGAGTAAAAAGGGGGAAAAGAGAACCTTGAAGAAAAGGGAAAGCGGAGACAGTTCAGTCCCAGAAGCGGAAACCGGGCAAGCTGGACCCTCCACTTCATTGACAGCATCGATCATCATCATCTTTCTCTTCTCCTGCGCAACTTTCCCTTCAGCATCATCCACCATCACCACCACCATACTCTCAGCTCAGCTCGCTTCTATCGACACGCGTACCTAAAAACAGACCTTCCCGACTTTCGCTTTCCTCTCCACCATGTTCGAAGACTCAGACAACAATCTATACCTCTTCACCTCCCTTACTGCGGGGTCATCGCACATCGTCACCGCAACGGCAACCCTGGAGCGGATTCTCAAAGCCAACAAGCTACCATTCCTGGCCATTGATGTCGCAACCAACGATGTAGCCCGCAAGCTCTGGGGTCGTCGCGCCAAGGGCAAGAAGCTGCCGGGCCTAGTGAAATTTGGCAGCGTTATTGGGGTATGTACCCCGCATAGCTTCTGGCCACCGCGGGGGGTGGCGGGCATTACGCGCCTCCCCCTCTTTGCCCCCTTTCCCACCCATCTACTAAACACAACCGACTGAAGACTAATCGTCTCATACTATAGGATCTAGAAGAGGTCGAAGACTGGAACGAATATGGCGAGCTCAGAATGCAAATCAACAATGTCCAACCCATGGATAGCATCTTCGCCTCTGGCACGGTCGCGCAATCCGAATCCACCACTCCCACCGTCTCTACACCTACCACCGAAACTCCCGCCGTGAAACAAAGCACCATCAAGATCCAGAGCCCCCCTGCAAAGGAGACTCCGAAGGACGAGTCTGCTACGGCTGCCATGCGCCTGGCCAGTGAGGAAGCTGCTGCCAAGGCCAAGGGTCACCCCACGAACGGCGACGCGAAGAACAATACTAAGTTTAACAGCAGCAACGTTTCAGCTGCTGCTGCCGCCGAGCAGAAGCCGACCGAGCCTACTGCGACGACGAGCGTGGACACTCCTGCTGGGAAGGAAGACACTGCAACTGGAGCCGAGGCTATCGAGATACCCGCCACCGAGGAGACCAGACCCAAGCGACCGCCGTTGGTAGTTCCCGAGTTGGCTGCAGAGTCATCTGCCAACATTCGCGCGGATGCCGCTGTAGTCGAGCACCATCGGGGGTCGATTGTCTCGGCCACCTCTCCCGAGGAGCAGGCCAAGGTCGCCCATGATCTGCGCAAGTCCATCTCCGGTGGCCACCAGGAGCTGCTGAACTCTCTCCGTGAGGATGTTGCGGCCGGAGCCAACCAAGAGGAGACCATCGAGGAAGAGCCCGAGGTTGGCGAGCAGAAAGAGGCGGCATCGGCGACGGCGGAAGCCACCAAGGATAGCCACTAGACCAAGCGAATGTTTATTTGTGGGTTTCTGTCGCAGGACGATAGCATTTTAGCTCCCGCCTTTGTGCATGTGTCACCTTCTGCATGATCGCTTGAAACTTTTACATACCATGTACAGATACCAGACTTTATTCTCTTATTATTGTTTCCCCTTTCTTGTTCCGAGATTGTATGTTTGACATTGTCTCATCGTTATCATCGACGGAAATTGCAGATGGTCATCAATTGCATGCCTCCAGGCCTTCACACGTAGCTCTAGGAATTTCGCCTATTATAATCTCATAACTCTTTACTTCCACATCTCCGGGTCAAAGCATACTGCGACGGGTTCCAGCAACAGAACTAAGTAAGAACCCAGAAAAAAGAAAATAAACAATTAGAAACTCGAAACCCAATTCAAACAAGAGAAGAAACATTATGCTAATGGTATATCCACACACAAGAGAGAAAGATAATGCCAAACGACTTCTATTTCAACACCGAGGGAGGGGGGGGGATTTGAAGGTAATATTTACTCGTCTTCTTTCCTATACTTGTTCACCGCCTGGCGCAGCTTCTCGATGACGTCGGCGGGATCCTGGGCGCCGAAGACCGCCGACCCCGCGACGATGACATTGGCGCCCGCCTCGGCCGCCTGGTCGATCGTGCCCACGCCCAACCCGCCGTCGACCTCGATGTTGAGGTCCGGGTAGCGCTCCCGCAGGGCCTTGACCTTGGGCAGCTCCGAGGCCATGAACTTCTGGCCGCCGAAGCCCGGGTGGACGGTCATTACGAGGACCATCTGTTTTTGTTCTTGGGTGTTAGTCTTGGGTGAGCGATTTTGGGTTGCGGGGGTGCGGTTGTTGGAGGGAGGGAGAATGGATGAAAAGTTTGAAGGGGATGAGGGTTTATGGTGGAGGGAGATTTTCAAAAGTGCATGGCAAGGTAGGGACCAAACGCACATCCGGCTTCTCCTTCGCATCCTCCGTCTCCAGAATCTCCCAGAGCACATCCACGGGGGTATCGGGCTTGATGGCGATGCCGGCCTGCATGCCTTGCTCGTGGATGTAGCGGATCAGCTCCTTGGGGGAGGTGTGGCGGGTGGTGGTCTTGTCGGCGGGTTCGGTGGCCGCGACCGAGGAGACGGCGGCTTCGTAGTGGAAGCAGTAGAGGTCGCAGCCGGCCTTTTGGAACTCTTTGACCCATTTGTGGGGCTGTGTTTTCGGGGGTAGATGTCAGTGATGGGATGATCTTGATTTGCGTTCGAGGGGTATAGGGGGAGGTAGGAGAGTGGCTTAAGGGGGGGTGGGTTGATTGTTTTGTTCCTTTGGCAAGGTGTTTTGGGGATAGGTTTGGTTCAACAAACTTAACTCACCTCCGCAATCATCATGTGGCAGTCAAATGTTCCCTTGCCGTGAGCTTCCGTGGGACGGGCGACATGGGATCGGATCGCAGAAACAACAGGGGCTCCGAAGGTGATGTTGGGGACGAAGTGGCCGTCCATGATGTCGACGTGCAACCAGTCGGCGCCCTGGGCGATCTTGGTTGAGCATTCGCTGCCCAGAGTGCCGAAGTCGGCGCTCAGAATGGAGGGGGCAATGATCGCGGGGGGGCACATGGTGGTTGTTGTTGGTTGGGATCGGTCAATTGAATGAGGGGGTGGTAGTAGAGAGGGGGGGGGAAAGAGATAGGTGGGTAAGAAAGAGGTTTAAGAATCGTACGGTATACAAGGAGGAGAGGAAATAGTATGAGGGGAGGTGTGGGGGGGGAAGAAGAGGGGCTAGCTTTAGATGTACTTATTTCTCTGTCATTTCTATAAGAGATAAAGCGGAATTATGACAGACTACTAGCGATCAATTGGATCAATGCTGGAACTTTCTGACAGACTCCGGCAAGAAAGGGGAAAACCCGTGTGGATAAACTGGCCATTACTCGAGGATGACTTCCGTAGGGGTCTCAATCAGCTCCATCCGGGCAAAAATTGTTGGTGGTCGTTGATATCATCTTCCCTGCTTCGGTCGACGTCAGTCCGGGGAGCCCGATTGGGAATGATATCACGCCGATAAGGGCTAGGGCAGGGGATTACACGTGGCAGACTACTGGGTACGCAAGCTTGCAGCCAGGTCGAAGCCTGACTGCCTGATCGCCTTACTGCCTTACTGCCTGAATTGGTGGATTCAAATGTCACGCTCCAAATTAGGAAAGGTGTCGGACGGGGCCCGATTACTTGCTCCATACGTTCCTCTTTTCCTTCTCCCAATGTCACTTCGTCATCTGCATCTTCCCTTCAACAATGTCGGTCGGGTGACTCCCCAGCGCTTCCTGCTCAACTGTCCGAGCCAGGATCGTCCTTGTTCTTCTCGCCTGGGTGGGCATGTCGTGCTTTTCATTATGCGTCGCGATGTCTGATAGGTCGGACGACAGGGCTCCTCAGAAGGGCGTCAAGCCCAGCCTACCTAGAGGACTCAGTACGGAATACAGTCTTCCCTTTCCAAGTTTTGAGTTGACGCTCGGCAGAATCATAATATCCTTCGCTTACCTCAGTTCTTGGATGTCATCACGAGTTCATTAAATGCGGGTCTGCTGAAGACACTGATCGCTTGAAGCGAACTCCGACTATCACTGGGCACCATCTGACCACCGCATCCCTAGTCCGGAGCTTCCTTTCTAAAGATAGTCTCCCCGGGCGCTTACAACCCGCCAATCATGCGAAGCTCCCCTCACCACTCCAGAGCTCCTGTTCGCCGACAGTCATCTTGTACAGGCATCAAGAACCTTGTACCATCTGATTGGCACAATGAAGCTCCCAGACCATTCTGTTGTCGCCCATCACAGATGGTCGCCCACTGAGATTCGTCCTTGCCGAAGCGCCGACTCGACCAGCACCAATGATAGTATCTTCAGGCTGCCTACCTGCAGGGATTTCGGGTGCTTTGTGCACAATGATGCAGTAGTTCCTGCATCTTGGGTGGCAGGTGTGAAGAGCACCGCGTTCGATCTCTCGCCTTCCCCTCCTTTCGGTGGTCTATTTATCAGTGTCCTGCGCTACCGATCGAAGATGATGATCTTCACCTAACCTTTTCTTGTCTCTTTGGCTATAGCTTCGTTTTTTTCATTTCTTTTTGCATCGTTTGCTCGTGCCTTAAGCTCTGGAAGCTGGGCCGTCAAGCGCTCCTGTCATTAATCACGTACTCGTCGACCTGTTGATCGGTGTTGAACGCCGCTGAGATACCCATAGAAGGCTCTTGTGGAGTTGATGGTTTGGTATTAGCCTCGATCTTGTCTTCGCACCACCTACTGTAATTGAAACCTTAGAACCTGGGAGCATATCTCACTACTTGAGCATTATGGCCGACATGCAGTACTCTACCGCCTCAGGTTGTCCACCCCTACGGCAGGTCCGGGGGACTCGACTCGATACTATACCTGAGGACTATCGCGAAACACAATACTCGGTACAGAAGGAGCAGGTCGCATCCGCTTCTCAGAAACCTGCAACAATTCCCCGACTGAAGTTGAAGACTAGCGGTCTATCGTCAGGGTTTCTGAGGCCGAATCGATTCTTCTCACCGATATCTGCCGGTTCTGTGTCATCCTGCTCGGACACGGAGTGGCAACAGCAGATGAAACCCTTTGAAGACCTCTACGATGCCACAGACGAGGAGTCGGTAACGAGTGACGAGTGTACTTCATTTGCCAGCACTCGGCCGACAAGTTTGACAACTCCAACGACGCGAAATTCCATGCTATCGCCAATTTCTCGTAAGCGCTATCCGAGTTTGGCCATTCCACCTTCGCCAGTGTGGCCATCATTGCAAGGTGCTTGCAAAAGCTCCCCCATTCCTCCGACGCCACCTTCCAAGATACCAGTTTCTCCGGCAGCTCTGTCAATGCTTGGTCGTTCTGTTCCTGCCGTGCATGCTCCACCCTCCCTGGATGGAAGTATATCCTCGGATCAGGTGTCGAATTTAAGCGCTCCCGCTACTCCAGATTTACAGTCAATCCCTGATCAGGACTGGGTCCTGCCAGGAGTTCATGTTCGACCAGACTTGGAAGATGTGGAAGACGTTGACCTCCCCGCACTCGATGCAGATCCAGATGTGCAGAGCATTGAGATCGCCTTCGATGCTGCTAGCGAAGATTTAGCTCAGGTCTTGGGCCGGTTTCCTCGCATCCCCGGTCAAGTGACGCCGCCTGCCTTCGATATGGACATGGAACCGGATTTGGTGCGGGGAGATACGCCGTCGGACACAGGAGTACATCTTCCCGAAGATGCCTTGGAAACTTTACGGCACCTGTCACTCAATAGAGTGCCAGATCCTTGGGCCGAATCATCCGATAGCAACGACGAGATGTGGCAAGTTGAGACTCCACCTCAACGCCCTCGTAGTGCTGATGGTGTAACTCCTGCTTCTGAGCTTTCCGGTTATAGCTTCAGCAGGTTGAGCATTCCGTCTCCAGGTGGCTTCTTTGCTTCGTTAGCCCCACGTGCCCGCCATACCTGGGCGATCCCGAACGGAAACAAACCACCCAACTCTGCCACTGCTGAAAGGTTCTACAAGCTACCTTTTACCCGCACTGAGGGAGAGATTGTTGAGCAGGTCATTGATTATCCGGAAAGAGCGACGGACGAGGAGCTAACAGCAGTATATGATCCAAGCGGTCCACCAACTGCTATTAGAATCCCCGCGGAGCATGCCATTGAGCCTCTTGGCACGCTGAGGAGTCCCGTGAGCACGGTCGCTGAGGAGATGAATCACGATCAGATGCCCGCTCCGTTGACAGATCAAGCCGAGCGAGATGAAGACTATGAAGCTGAACTCAAGAAGAAAGCGATGTCAGGCTTGGATAGGACCAGTGTTTGGCTGGCAGCTCAAGCTTCTTACCTAGCAGCCTTGAACGAGACAAACCCCGCCAATTCCATCGACAAGGAAAGTGGCAGCGAGATTGAGGCTCGTCAGAAGCCTAGTCAACAAGCTCCAAGCTCTCTTGCCCGCAAGAGATCGGTCAAATTCACTGGAGTTCTTCCCGCTGCCCCCAGTTCGCAACCTTCCGCTTTGGCAAGTAAAGATTCGATTTATTGGAGAGGGTTCCAAGCTCTACGCGATCAATCAAGCATCAAGGATATTCATGTACATCAACACGCTCGCTTTGATGCTGTCCAGTCTGTTCGTGTCGGTATGCCCGGCTTACACGTTGACTGTTTGACGGGAAAGTACGAGTTAATTCCTACTCAACGTCCTGCATACAAAGGACCCTTTTCGATGGCACCTCGCAATTCGACACTCGACTCGGCTCGGGTACAAAAAGCTCAATTCTCCATAGTGGAGAAAGAGCAGTTGGTGCTGTCGCAGATCCGTCAGGCTATGTGGGCTATGGATGCACTGAGGTTTCTCAATGGCGGTCGCATGCTTGTCAGTCCTGCATCAAGAAAGCTTCGTGGCTCCAGCCGTTCGCCAAAAAGGTCAACAAATGCGAATCAATGCAGTGTTCGGGTTCTGGATCTTGGAGGGCATGCGTCGTGTGAATGGGCGTGGCAATTTGCCTATGACTATCCTAATGCCAAAGTCACAACGGTCTACACTGGTTCCCAGGAGGTCAATCGCGGCATCAAAGGACCTCCCAACCACCGACATGTTTCTGTTTCACAACTGTGGAAGCTCCCCTTTCCCGACAACAAGTTCGATGTGATCTCAGCTCGTTCGTTGCCAGCTCTGCTGAAGAAAAAATGCCCGAGCGGAGAGCTCCTTGACGAATACGATCTGTGCCTGAAAGAGTGCCTTCGCTGTCTCAAGCCCGGTGGCTATCTGGAGTACTTCGTTCTAAATGCTGAGATCTTACACGCTGGCCCTCAGGGATCTGCCATCTCGGAGAAGTTCGTTGCCAATCTTCAGGCCCAAGGATATGATCCGATGCCGACCAAAAGCTGGCTCGGACGCGTACAGCAGCACTTCACCGACATCAAGCGAGCCTGGGCCTTCCTACCAATGGGGATCGAGCCCACCAAGACTGAGCCACCCAGAGAGACGCCGGATCCGAGAGTCAAGAGTCTTGCTGGAGATTACGAAGCGATACAAGGTCCTGTCGGTAGTACTGCTGACATTGCCAGTATCACGGGGCTACTAGGCGGATGGTTTTGGGAACAGTGGTGTGTCAAGCTGCAGCAAGAGATCGGAATCGAGCGGGAGAATTTACTCGCAGGAGTAGGCGCTGTGTTCGATGAGGGCCGCAAGAACGGAGCAGGCTGGACCTGTTTATCCGGATGGGCGATGAAACCACGGCGCCAGAGACGTCGTGGTGGTCAACCGAAGGGCAGGGGGGTGAGGAGCCCTTGCATGTGATTCTTTCCTTTTATTTTGGATGTAGACCCAGGAGGTTCATCCGTCCTTCTTGATACCCCCTATCTGCCCTGGTCGGCGAAAGTTAATGTAATTATCGTGCCCCTGGAGCCTCTCCATGACGATGGTGAGCTTCAGGCGTGCTTTCTTATGTATGACGTGTTGATGGTTGGATGTGAAGAGAATGTTTGGGACGGGTACCCTATCTGTCCTAATTCCGAAGCGATGTTAGACAATTAGCCTATAGCCACACTGACAGGAAGTGATGATGGTCGCCTTAACAATAAAATCTCCTCTTCGGAGGCTTCCAATTCTCGTATACTTGAAACGAAAGTTGTCTACAGTGGCTGCATCAGGTGTGTATTGCAGAGTCTACAAGTAGGCGTGCTAGGGTACTAGGCATAATAATCACGACTTCTCTGCTTGAGCTACTGTGCCCCCCAAGGATATATGCTCTCCCGGGAGCCCTGCGCGTGCTCAATCGAGATGCGCGCTGGCCGGTCATTTTCAGGAGTGGGAGATGATGAAAACAAGATGCTAACGACGATTGCAACTAGTGTGACATATCTCTTTGTACCATGTATTGGGAGCTAGAGGCATGAGCAGCTCAGGCTGCGTTGCATGGAAAAAGATGTCAATGCGAGAGAAATGAAAAGGGTGGGTGGGGTGCAGCGTGGCGCAACATGATTGCAGGGGTCTTACAACGTGCTGCCTGATGTAATCCACATCAATAGCCCGGATGGTCTAGTGGTATGATTCGCGCTTCGGGTTCAGTACTTGAATATGCGCGAGGTCCCGCGTTCGAATCGCGGTTCGGGCCCATTACCTTTGTTTTCTTTTGTTGCCGAATCTCCTTTTTCTACACGAAGAAAGTGGAAAACGCACCCTTTTTTTTTTCCTTACAGGCGCCCGGCCAGAATAATGATCATGAGGCAAAAACATAGTGGATGAAACACCGACTAAGGCGCTGCTAACACCACCAGTTGCAAAGCAGGCGCTCGATTTTGATAAGCACGGCTGGAAAAAAAAGGTAGTAGATCCAGCAAAACCAATAGTAATGTTTGATTTGCCAAGAAGCAAAAAGGATATATGGGCCCGAACCGCGATTCGAACGCGGGACCTCGCGCATATTCAAGTACTGAACCCGAAGCGCGAATCATACCACTAGACCATCCGGGCTGTGATGATGTCATGATCTATGTCTTGCAAACCTCATTCCTGCGAACTTACAGTGTGAAGATAGAGCTGCACTCCCAGTGCAAGTAAAGTGGTCCATGTTTACTCACATTTGCAATTATTGGTGTCAGGCTCAGTGCTGGTGTCCTTGGCCCCATGATGGACTTTTTATCTTCAGGGAAACATCGTAGTGGAGAGGAGGGGTGCAAGGAGGGGGGAGAGGGCAGAAGCCTGCAATTGATCACAGGAAACACCTTCGACAAGCCTGGAGTCGTTTCACTCATTGGCCAAATTTGCGCATCCTGCCGTCCTGGGTTGTCTCCAGGCACGTTACTCCATGTGTTGCCTATGCGCTAGGATAAGCTGTGTGACTGAGATCGAGGTGAGTGGAGAGAAGAAAATGCTGCAATAAGGACCGCTATTGACGTTTATAGAGATCTCGGGCGCACGCTCTTCTGCCCTACCAGCAAGGTCCCTGGCAATATGATACAGTGTCATTCGGCGAGCTGTGCTGTGCTTCCTTGAGGAACAAGAGTCAGCATGGGAACTGCAGAGGCTTTGCTAGTGGTTGGTGTATATACTCGCCGATGGGAGTACACAACATGTTGCCTGCGATCTTCTATCGCCATTCCCGGGTTTTCCCCGGTTGGCGATGGAGAATAAAAGTCCCGTCGAGTATCACTGCATGTCGGTGGCCTTGCTGCGTAACTTCCCCATAAGAAGATTGGTTGTTTCATATATACCTGTCATGGCTTTCTCGAGCTCTATTGCAAGTTTGGACAAGATTTCGACATGAGCATTGCACGCTTTCCCGATCCCCATAGCAATGAAGTCCACAGTGCTCGCAATAATCATTCCAGGAGTCCTGGGGTTTAGGGCCGAAACAGGCGGTTTATTGGAGGAAACTCTGGTATGCTGGCAGGCACGAAGCACTAAGTGCTCTTTAACTGACTCCAGGACCGTCGACAGAATCTACCCCTGCCTATGATCCAGAACCTTTCAACGTCCAACAGCTTTGTTCCTAATACCACAAACTCATGGTGGTCATCCTCCTACATTCATGCATCTAACAACCATGATTACTTGATCGTCTCCCAATGTTTGCTGATGAACGCTGGCTTGTACCGGGGCTCCATCCTTGATATCACCGAACCGAGCTTCTATCGCCAATTCGAGCGTTTCGCAACTGGCCCCCTTACAGATCCAGGTCTGAGTAGCGGTGGCATTCTCAACATCACCTTTGAGCAGTATGGCTTCCACACGACAAATTACGACGATCCACTCCAGGAACTACGCACCTGGAGTGCCGTCGAGGGCGTGGAGTTCGACATACGATTCCATCTCTCTACGCCCGTGATACTCAACGGCGGCACCGGTCTCTTCCAATGGGGCTCCGAGTTGACCCACGAATGGTCCATGCCTGCCGGTCTCACGCTGGGCAGCTTCGTCGTCAACGGCTCCCGACTGACCATTGATCCTACGCGGTCCCTAACCTGGTACGACCGGCAGTTAATGTGGCCGAATACACTGGCGAAGGTGGCCAACAAGGCCAATTGGACGTGGTTTGAAGTGCACCTTGACGACAACTCCCACAACAACAACGCGCCCACTGGCAGAGCCGACAAACTGTCGATCTGGGTGTGGGACACCACCGACCATCGCCGTACGCAGTTTGCAACGGCCTGCCACCGCCCGGGCATTCACCAGGTCCTGCCTGTCACTGCGTTTGTCCCATCTCGAAGAACCTGGACCTCGCCGGCTTCGAAGGCCACTTACCCTCTGGACTGGGTGGTTACCCTCTGGGATGGAACTACGCTGTCGATCTCAAGCGTGCGACCGGACCAGGAGCTTTGTGATGCAACGGGGCTCTCGCCTACATACGAGGGTTATATTCAAGTCAATGGTTTTGATGGAGACGGTCGAATGATCTCTGGGTATGGTCTGGTTGAACAGGTTCCCGCCGGGTTTCTTCCGGCCATGACGCTGTCGAGCGAAGAGTGATGATATTGGGAAATTCCCTTTGTGTATGTTCTTGAGTTAGCTGCAGCTGGTATGCTGTGCATCTGATACTGGTTGCCTGTTTGGTCACGTGTCATAGTTGTTATGCAGGAGCATGCTGTGGAAGAAAGATTGAGTGTCGCCACATTTTATATGTTGAGAGGCCGCGGTTGGGCTTGAACAATTTCCGAAATTCCATCTCAACCACACACCTTCTAATAGACCAAAGAAATTGAGCAAGCAACCCAGTCTTCGTATATGTATGGCTTGTTCGACAAGTATCCTATATTCAAGTGATTGTATAGCAAGTAGGATGTATTGAGGCGTGGGTGAAACAGTAAGGCTTACTAAGAAATGAGTCATCGAAGCGATAGCTGCCTCACGTGTCGGCTCTGATAAACGCAGAAACACCCGACAGTATCAATCAACTTACCCGCACAGGACTTATACAATTCGTTCATAACTCGATTCTTTCTTTTGCTCTCTTGTCTCAAAGCTCCCGGAAGAGCTTCTGTATTTATTCCATCTCTGTCTCCTGTTGGTAGCGACCCAGATTGCTTCCTCACATGCTGAATTGACCCCCGATAAATTGCGCCGAACATCCCCTCCCCCACACGCAAGACAGACAAGCTAGTCGACCGCAATCATGCTCTTCTTCAGGTAAATGGCTCCTGCGCGCCGCTACCCACCTATCGCTACCCCCTCACTCTCTCCATCACGTCAATGAGTTACTAAAGCCGAACCCCAAAACAGTTTCTTCAAAACCCTCACCAATCAGACCGTCACTATCGAGCTGAAAAACGACATCCGCATCCGCGGCACCCTCAAATCCGTCGACCAATACCTGAACATCAAGCTCGACAATGTCGATGTCCTCGACCTGGACAAATATCCGCACCTGTCGTCGGTCAAGAACATGTTCATTCGGGGTAGTGTGGTGCGCTATGTGATGTTGCCGCGGTCGGAGGTGGATATTGGACTGTTGGAGGATGCGACGAGGAGGGGTGAGTCCCCCCCCACCCAAATTGTTTTGCGGGAGCTTCGAGAAAAGGGGACACGATCATGCCCCGAGCCGGGAATGCCGGAGAGGCGGACATATCGATCCGAGATTCATTGAATAGTGCGCTAATTCTCTTTTGTCCGCTGATATAGAAGCTGCGAACCAGGCTGGGAAGGCCAAATAAGCGGGACAGATGAGAGAGATGACTTGAGCGACAGTGGGAGGATTTGAAGCGGAATTGGGAGGATCTGGATTGATATCGGACCTCGAGAGGACATATCCTCCGGGCTTTATGCTTTGGTCCCTTTTCTAAAGGGCGCATCATGTTATGGCACGGTCTACACTTTTTTTTTACGTTTCTCTTTTTATAATTCTATCATGATGTCATGCTGCACTGTTTCGTGGGAGATGGAGGGCTTTGTGCTTTATGCATGCTGGCCTGGTGATGGAGCTGATATTGCGGTGTGTATGGTGGTGACGAGGATCGGGTAAGGATAGCCCAAGGCTGGGAGGCAACGGCGATGATGATACCTTGACAAAGAAGGGAATGCGGACGGGGTGATGCTGGTCATGGGAGATGAACGTCGGGTTGACTTTATCTTCGAATATCTCTTCCTTCAACCATGTTTGGGGTGAGCTTGCAGGCATCGATGCGGGCAGGGCACAGGCTAGCCACACAGCGGCCACATGCCCAACATCAGCACTATACTTGGAGGACCTATGCTCTTGGCTCTTCAACACGCGGAAAGTGCTTGATGATTCAGTCGGCGGTCTGGTCTCATCCTGCTTAATCGACAGATACCTATTCCAGGTCTAGCTCCAGCATCAGACATGACTATCTCGCTTATGTCGCAAGTCAACATTTATATTCGATCGAATCCCTTCAACCTCTAACCCTAGCATACTCGGCGATCATTCTCCACTAGGAACGAAGACATAAATTATGCAGGACTAAAGTCGCACTGCTTACATAAAGGTCTTATGCACAGCAGGAGGGTGACCCCGCATTACTGACATTCAGGCATGACCAAAGGGAGGAATATTGTAGATTAGAGTATCTTGTACTAATTGAGCTCTTCTGATTTGAAGGATATGTAATGAGAACTCAACATGCACACATATAGTCTAATCTGAACATGAATTCAGTTATATCTATTGATTCTTTGTCCAACCATGATTGACATCATTGAGACAGTTGAAGCCATCATTTAATGGGTTGAATGCACGTGACTTCGTGTCGTGAAAATCGTCGAGGACGAGATCCAGCCGCGCCGCGCCTTCACCTTCCGCTTTCCGTCCTTGAGCTTCAACCTACAGTCGTTCCTGTTTGCTAGATAATGCAACAGATTTTCTTATATATCCAAATCTATACTCTCTTCCATACTTCGGATATACGAACATGCCAATTGACCTATCCTTGACCCAATAACCGTACCACACCTCCCTCTCGTCCCGATAGACCCTCTCGCATCTTCGAGGGACCGACAGCAGCATGGCAGGATCCGCCACCAAAAAAGGCTCAACGCCAGCCAAGGTCCCCTTCGGCGCCAAATCCCAGACCCCCGCGAAGCGCAACGGCAGTCTGCTGAACTTCTTCCAAAAAGCCGACGGACCGCCCAAAGCCACCTCCACCCAACCCCGGATCA